ATCTTGATAATAATGATTATATTAATTAAATATACATAATAATATTCTTTCAGCTTCTCAGATTTACATATACATTGTAATTATAATATATTCTATTTTGTGGCTGTATATAAAATGGTGTTTTTCCAATTTCTACTTTTTATGTCTTATTACCAGCCTCTGATACAACAATTCCCATATTAAGAGGTATGATGTATCTATCCATCATCCCTTATTTTTTACTTTTTAAGCCTCCATAATCATAATCTTGACTTCTAACATTTACTTATACATATTAACTGTAATAGATTCTATCATATAACAGTATGCATAATAACATTTTTTCAATTTTTAATTTCTAGCTCTATTTTTAGTCTTTAGTAAAACAAATCCCATATTAAGATGTATTCTATATCTATCCATCATCTCTTGCCCTTTTTAGTATTTCAATTTTTATTGACTTTTTAATCAGTCTCCCTTGCTCCTCCCTTGGGATCTTGTATCCTACATCACTCATGTTTAATCTAAATGTCTTCCTGCCTCCACATCAGCCTCTTGCTGTCTGCTCTCTAAGATACCCATCAGAACCTCTTTGGTCTCTGGTAAGGAATCTTTCTTTTTGCTCTCTTCTACATTTTGGCTGCTTTAAAAATCATTTATCTGTTCTATTTTTACTGTCTCTTCTATATCTTGTGTTATTTGTTGGTTTTCTTCTCTCTTCTCTCTTCTGCTCCTTCTGAATTCTCCTCTACTGTTTGAATTTTTTGTTCATCATTCATTATCATTTTTTGGCAATTTCCAAGTCTGATCTGTATCATGCATCAGTTAGATCATCTCCCTATGATTCCTTATCATAGTTTCCTTAATATCTTGAAACATTAATAGTATTTCCATTTGGGGTATATTTATTTCTTCTTATTGTAACATTTTACTTTATTTGGTTGGCTAAAAGTTATTCAGTAATCCATCCAAATCCCAGAGTCCCAAGTTTTCAAGAATGTCAAAAAGTCAATGTTAAAAGAATTTGCTCAGTCCCTGAACTGTTCCTCAAAATCCATAATGTTTGTAATCCTCAAAGTCTGTTATTTTACTCCTTCTGAGTTATATAACTTTATAAGTCTTGTTTAATTTCCACCCCCCTCCTTTCGCCTCGTGGAATATTTTATCAAATGGTATTTGTAATACAGAATGGCCCACCAAATTTCCCCATGACTCATTAACTCACAGAATCAGGTGTTCAGTTTCAAGGGCAATTCCTATTCTTTATAATCCACATTGTTTTCAAAATTTCAAAAGACTCATCAATTATTCCTAAACTGCCAAAAAGTAACAAGTAGACACAACAGGAAAAACAAAGAGACGACCTTCCAGATGTTGTTTACCAGCCCTATATTAATATAATATCTTCTTTGGCCAGGAGATGGTGACACAGCTCTAAATTTCAATATCAAAATGGGGCTGCCAGCTGATTGTCAAAGTTCCATACAAAGAAAAAAAAAGTTTTTCTTTATATAATTTCTCCCAACAGTCAGACAATATTTCCAGCAGATTTAAGTCACTTTTCACAAAATAACAGATTCCAGTTCAGTCTTTAAAAACTTCATGTTGTTCCATTAAGATTTCATTTCTCTTTTGGGTCTATATTTTATCTCCATGTGTTAATTCAGCACTTTCTCCACGCTTCAGAGTCTTTCAAAAATTATTTTGTTTAAAGTGGGTCTCTAATAAAAAAATTGAAAATTGTCTCACTCAGTTCCAATCCACTGTTCACAAACCGCTCCAGCTCATTTCTTTCTTTGGTTGGCCCAGCTTTGGTCGGCCACAATGGTCGTTTCTCTTCTTTGTTGGTCAGGAGGGTGCCTCGGCTCAAGCAGAAGAACTATCACTCTTCTGCAATCATCAAGGTATTCCTCCTTTCTTTGTCACCCCTCCAGGGTGACTTTGGCTCCTTAGGGCCCCCCAATGAAGAGATATCGGCTGGGATTTCACGGAACTCCCGCTATCTTGACCGACGCCAAACCAGACATTTCCATTTAAAACTTCTTTTAAAAGAGCATAAAAAGATAGAGCACCAGTGCTGGCAAGTGCAGCCAATGTTTCTCAGTCTGCTGGTAGGTGATGATGCAGTTAGAAGTTTGTTCTTCAAGAGATTTGGTCAGACCTAGCTTTGATGTAGAGGATATTGGATGTGCTCTTTGTAAATGTGCAAGTCAAACAGTAGGCAAGATAGATAACATTGGGGTAGGCATCTTGTTTAAGAATCTTCTTATTTGTCTTTCTTGTCCATTCTCTGAATAGGATGTTTTTCCTATCTTATAAACTAATTGTAATATTGAAACAAAAAGCTGATATGTGTGATTTTTCACAATATTATTTTGATTTGGTAAAACTGATTGTTTCATATTAAACTTAATTACAATGTTTTTCAGAACTATACCGTACTGAGTCTTTATTGCCATGTTAGCATTTCTAGAGTTGCTGTTGAAAATTTTTATTTGTATTTTTGGGATTCATGCTTACTTTTGTTGGTCTTTTCATGAAGAGGGAATTGCCTTAAAACAAGATAGTGAATCATATTTATGATAGTAATTATAATTATTAGCTGTGTTATCATTAATAAACAATATTGATTTAACAAATTAAAATTTATAAACTTGCAATCATAGATTGGAGAGCCGCACAGTAAATAAAGTCTAATTAATGCCAAACCAAACTTTTAAATAATGAAAAATTTTAGTATTTGCACAAAGTAACAGGAAGACTTTATATTTTAATTTGTTCATTTTATGTTAGTTATGTTTAAACATATATGTAGCCGCCCATCTTATAACATACCCTGACTGGCCCCAAATCAAAAATTAAAACAACATAAAACCATATTAAAACTATAAAATCCAAACACATTAAAAACCAAAAATCAGGCTCCATCAAGCTTCCAATATGAAGTTGCCTCATCCGAACACTTGGGGGAAATCCAAATCTTCAATGTTTTATGGAAAGCTAGAAGGTTAAAGGATAAACTTCAAGGGGGAGGGGTTCCATAGGCAGTGACTGCCCTGGAAAACTGACATTTCCTAGCTCCCATAAGATGACAATATTTAAGAGAATGGATTGCCTTATCTGACCATATAGGATAAAAAGCTGTCCTTAGGAAAAGGGAGTCCCACAGAAAACCTGGCCCTGTAACATATAGGGGTTTAAAGATGATGACCAACACCTTGGATTGCACTGGGAAGAAACTGGAAGCCAGTGTAGCTTGGGCCCCAGAGAGTTACCTGGGTGAACCTAGGAGTACCCATCACTGTGCCCACTGCTTTGTTTTGAACAAGTTGAAGTTTCCAGGTGGTCTTCAAGCACAGCCTCATGTAGAGTGCATTGCAATAATCCAAATGGAAGGTGACGAAAGCATGAATGACCATGAGCAAGGCCTCTCAGTTCAGGAAGAGGTGCAATTGATGCACTAGATGAATCTGTTGCAAAGGATCCCCAAGCCAGAGCTGCCATCTGCTCTTTGATCAGGAACTGTGAATCTAGGAGAACTCCCACATTATGCACCAGCTCAGTCTGGGAAAGTGCCACCCTCTCCAGAATCAAAGATGAAATATCATCTGGACCTGGGGGGCCAAAACCCCAAAGCCACTTCATTTTGCCAGGGTTAAATTGCAGCTAGTTCCTCCCCATCCAGGCTTTTATATCCTCCAGACATTCAGTCAGTACCGCCACAGTGTCACCTGTCCAGCTAGGGGTAGAGATATATAATTGAGTATCATCAGCATACTGATGATATTGGGCCTCATACCAACAGAGAATCTCCCCTAGCAATTTCATGTAGATCTTTAAAAGGAGAAGTGAAAGGCTTGAGCCCTGGGACACACCATATTGAGCTCTCCTTTCCTACCAACAGCAACTAGAACCAGCTATGAAAGAAGGAGGAGGCCACTATAGCACAGTGGCCCCACTCATAGCCCCTAAATCTGGTTATAAAGGATACTATGGTAATTATCTCCAAAGATAATCAACAAGTATGACCAATGGTGTTTCAGTGCTGTGGCTCAGCCTGAACCCAGACTGGAAAGGGTCCAAATATTTTGCTTTATCCAGGACCTTTTGCAACTTTGCATCAACCACCCTATCAACAGGCTTCCCTAAAATTGAAAAATTGGAGACTGGACATTGTCTAATACTATGGCCTCTTGAGAAGGAGGTATACCACTGCCTCTTTGGGGAGCAGATGGTAACATCCTGTCCTGTAAAGAGCCATTAATCACTACTTGGATCATATGCCATCGCTTGGGAGGCCTTCTCAAGCCAGGAAGAGCATGGATCCAGAACATAACTGGCTGAGCTCACAGCCTGAAGGAACCTACCCACTTTCTCAAGAGCAACTGCCTCAAATTCCTACCTGATAACAAGACTCAAACATGCCTCAATCACTTTCATAGGGGTTCCCAGCCACAGTCTAACTCTGAGCAAAGTCAAGAACTTTGTCTGACGGAAGCCAAGAATATTCAAGAACAATCCTCAAAGTGACACTGCCAGGGATCCCTTAGCTTTTCCTTACCCAGGAGGGACCTGATTACAGGAAATAGGGCTGCCAGCCACCTCCACGCAGATGCAATAAAGGTGGAGAAATAATTACATTTCATTGCCCTTATCACTCATTTTAGCCACAATTCCAATAAGACTTATTGATCTATAGTTTTTTGGCTAATCTTTGTCACCCTTTTTATGTAGGTAGATTATAATGGTGATTTTCCATCTGACTGGAATGCATCCTGTATTGTTTATATGAGTGATTTTAAGATTAAATTAGGATGCAACCATCCTCTATTAACCTGTCAAGTTCAAAACAAAAGACAAGAGTGTTGCATGGAAGGAAACAGATTTCTAAATATAAACAATGACTAAGAAAAGTATCTCTTCCATCCATCTTCCTCTTTATAATTTTTTCATAATCGAGGAATTAGAGTTTTTTAACACTATATTTTGATTTTTCAATGTTCTTCTTTGTATCCTTACAGATCTCCACTACGCTACTGTATATTGGTTGGAAGATGAAAAAACTTTCCAAGTTAGGGATGTATTAGACAAGAATGGTGATGCTTATGGCTATTACAATGACACTGTACAATCTACTGGATGGGGGATACTTGAGATCAAAGCAGGCTATGGTAACCAGCCCGTAAGCAATGAAATATTCATGTACGCTGCAGGTTTCTTGGAAGGCTACCTCACTGCTTCGTAAGTAGTTTGGTAAACTAAATTGGCATTGCTTAATTGATTATCTAAAATGTGGGTTGGACTTTTTGGATTTTTGAAAAACACTCACTCCCTTGTTATTTGGCTTGCTGTAATCACAAGTTCCAAAATATCCTAATTGACCAAACTTGCCTCTAAAACAGAGACATAAATCCATTTTGATCACGGTTTCTTATTTTGCCTTGGAGAAAAATGATAGACAAACCACATTAATTGTAAACAATTTAGATATAGTGGCAAGCCATGATTAGAACAGTAGGAAATAGGATAGGGGACTGTGCATGTGAAAGAAGTAGCTTAGTTACTTATAATATGTACTTTTAATACAGTACATATTAAGGAAAGATTCATCTCCTGGAACAAAAGACAACTATTGTCTATAGGTGGACCAGACCAGAAACAGATTCCATGGAAGCCTAAAACTACCTTTTTAAAGATTGGCTACAGAATCTTGCAAAATTGATTTGCTTGCCTTCCTCATGTGAATTATAATTTAACAAGGCATTAAGGCAAGTGATGTTTTGACTAAACTTCCCTAAACTTAGGTTATTCTAGATTTACAGATTAAGAATTTGAAGTCCAAAATTTGAAGGGCACTATGTTGGAGGACCCAAAATTGCTTTTTCCAAAAAGGCAATTGGACTTTTATTCCCTTAGAAAATGTTTTCCTTCTCATTCAAGAAGCTTCTTCAGTTCTAATCAAATTCTAATTCTACTGTAGTTAGTCTTCAATTGTTTTATCTCTATGGCTTGATTTTTTTGCCTATAGCTTTGAGCAGGCAAACCAAGATTATTGGGCAGAATTAGCATGCCATTTGTAGTACCAAATGAAAGAGGATTCAAGCTAATTTAAGAAAATCTTATCAAAATAACTTGAAATGTATCATTTTAATTAGGGTTACTATGAGTAGGGTGGGAAGCCTGCTTATGGTTATTTTACATACAAAATGAAATTATGCGTAGTCTTTCTTATTCTTTATATTGGAATGTCATAACTGTTGTTGTACTAAAGATACAAGTTAAGACATAAAATTTATCAAGTTGTGTTCATATTGGCAAAGCAAGACAAGTGAACTAAAATAATATTTCCCGCATATTTCTTTCAGGCGAATGAGTGACCATGTTGCAAATCTGTATCCTCAGCTGATTAAGAATGTCATCATTGAACAAAAAATAAAAGATTTTATGCAGTATGTATTCTATTGTCAAAAATGTTCCCATTCATAAATAGCAATGAAACAAGTGCTATAATATGGCTTTAAGAATCCCCAGTTAGAATGTTTTACTAAGCTAATTCCACTTGCTCCAGCAATACATAACTAAATGAGGAACAGACAGAATTAGCAGGACTCTGTGCAAGAATTGAAGCTAAAGCATGTGATACAAGGAAAGGTTATGACATAATAGATTTACCACATTTCTAAAATGCCACAAGGCTTTTTGGTTTTGATGCAGAGTTGACAGTGTCTCCAGCACTTTAGGGTCATTATATTTAGCAGAGGAAATGTATCTGTGATGTTTGAAATTATCAAAACTTCTTAACAAAAGAACATGTATTAATATGGTTTGTCCTTTGTTCCATGACTTCATTGTTCTATAGCTTGAGGAGAGCATTATCCTAAACATATTTATTCACAAGAAAGTCCCACTGAGACATAGAATGGAGCAAACCTTAAGTATCTCAGTAGTTCTGATCAAATATATATCCTAAACTCAGATTTGTTCCTATATAGGAAACAGGATGAGTGGACCAGGCAGCAGATTAAAAATAACAAGGATGACCCCTTCTGGAGAAATGCAGGATACGTTATTGCTCAGCTGGATGGGCTGTATATGGGAAACGTGGAATGGGCTAAACGGCAGAAAAGGACAGTAAGAAGCAATATGTTGTTTTTCACTTTCAGAAACGGAAATAGAGTTTAGTTCAAGATTTAAGTTAAGCCCAAGTCTTTCTGCTTTCTATACAGAATATGTAAAACATCCTTTATGTTACAGCTGTTCCATTTGATGTAGAAGTTAGTTGGTACAGCCCCAGAGTAGCGCATTACTCAATAATTCTCTAACCATTTAGGAAGCTTAGATAGAAGATGAACGTCTATCTGCAGTTGCTATACCACACAGGGAAAGTGCTGTCATTATAGCCCTAATTTTGGAATGGGCTGGGTAACCTTCTGAGAGTCAACAGGATGTTGTCACTGAATTAGCAAGAGGAGAATTCACTGGATACAAATAGCTTTCACCTTTATTTCCATACTCAGGCACAGCATGACAGTAAAGACATGAATAACTAAACACATTTTCTTTCCTTGACTCAGCACTGCAAGAAAATACGGAGCCTGGGGCTAATGGAATCAGGGTCAATACCATTTGAAGTGAAAATAGCATTTATCCCCTTTGAATTAATTTTTCTGAAAACGATTTACAGAAACTGAGAAGGAAAAATATTTCTTGATTCTAACCATAATGTTAATAAAAACATTTTTATGAAGTAAATGTAACATAACAGTTGAAAACTATTGGCCTCTACTTTTAAGTTCAAGAAGTAAACCCAAATAATTGCCTGTATTTTTAATTTAAGATGAACATCTGAGTTCATATTCAAAAGAAGGAAATACCCATCCTTTTCGCCCTCACTGTATTAATAGGTATCTACCCCCCCCCCCGGCTCTCCAGCCTTAATTTAGCCTTATTTGTACCAAAATCAAGAATGATTTGCCAATGATGCCACTGGCAGAAATATTGTTCGTGGCTAAATACTGGCAGTTTTTCCCAATAAATGCAGATATCCTGTAAGTAGAAATACAGTTTTTTTGTTAATATTATACATAAAAACCCAATTTTTAAATATGTAGTTTGTTTAATTTTTTCCACTATGCCAGACAAAATCATGAGAACAGTATTAAATTATACTCTTTACAAATGATGAAAATAGAAGCCAGTTAGACAAATAAAAGATTGTATTTGTTTTTCCGTATTTTGGATAACACTATTGAGCAAAGTAAGCTGCATATTGAAAGATTTTATAATAATCAATATGTAATTTTTTACAGTACATCGATAGTCAGATACTGTTTTCTTGTTGAATTTGGATTTAAGTATTTTAGTGGTAGATTTAAAGCTGGTAAATTTCTTAAAATAACAAAAATAAGATATTTGAATACTATTTGGATAATTATATGTAGATACAGTATATTTGGATTCTTGTATGTACAAACCCAGTTATTTTGTTTGTTCTTCGATTTTAATATTGGCAAATAAATTAAATTCTCTCTAGCTCATACTTAATTAAAAAGTATATATTCAACTTTCATATAATTCTTATCCTTGTAAAATGTATAGAATTTCAGATTTGATCTGTATCCCCACATTTAAGAAGAAAGTAATTTATTTTTTTCTTTATTATATATGAAGAAAGGATGTGAAATTTTGAATTTTTCAGTGTTGCATAGTGATTTTGATTAGGAAATCTATTTTTATGGTGGATTTATTATTTTTGCAATATTTATAAATGAATTGACAGTTTGCATTTTCTGTTAGGATTTTATGGAAATGAAATAAAAAAGGAAGTAAAAAGGATAAATATTGATAATAGTTTATATTATGCTGCACTCTTCATCACTTACATCCTATTCTCTGGCTCTTCTATGATGGAAACTCCTTTATCAGGGAATACAGGTAGTCCTTGACTTACACTCAGTGGCTTAACAGTTGTTCGAAATTATGGTGGAACGCCAAAAGCTACTTATGTCCCAGACCTGTAGTTATGACTGGGGCAGCACCCCCATATTCATATGCCCTTACAACAACCACATGGATGCTGCAGTGTCACCCTGCCTATCTTCTCCCCCATCCTGCCCACTGGGTCTCTGCAGGAATTTCTCTCTCCCAATGGCTCCCTACTGTCCTTAAACCTGATTTCCATCCTACTAGGATCCAGACACTCCTCCTCACTTACCTTTTCAAGAGCTCCGAAGCCTTCTATAGTATTGGAATGGGTCACTTTGTCACTTGGCTACATGGCTTGATTCTAGAATTGTGCCACATAGGTGAGAGACAAACCACTCTGTTTTGCTACTTTAGCACAGTTTGCACAGCCCTGCAGAAACTTTCTGCAGCACTGTGCAATCTTGTTAAGACAATAAAACAGGGCAGTTATCCCTTGCCTGTGTGGCCAAAACTCGGAAGCAACCCTCAAAACAGTGGCTGTGAGACAAACCGCTCTGTTTTTCTGCCTTAATGAGATTGCACAGCACTGCAGAAAGCTGCAGAAAGCTTCTGCCACATTCTGCAAACCACACAAAAACAGCAAAACAGAGTGGTTTGTCTTGCATCTGCATGGTGCAATTCTGGAAGCGGTGACAATATCAGAATGCAATTTGGTGGCTGAAAAAATGGCAACTGCTCCTAGAACCATGCCATATGGCTGATTCTGCTTCACTAATTCAGTCCATGTAAGATTTTGAAAACCTCTCAGGTTCTGGAAGCTCTGCTTCCAGAATCATGTCATATGGCCGCTCAATGAAGCAATCTGTTCCAGTGGTCTACAAGGCTTTGGGGACCTTCACTAAGTCTTGGGAGGGCCAAGGCAGGCAGGCCTAGGCCTGTGCTAGGCCTCCAATGGCTTTACTCATCCCTGAGGCACCCTATGGTCCATTTCATGACCTGCACATTCTTTTAACAATTGCATTGGGGAGAACAGTGATGGGTGATCATTCAGTGAGATATTCACTTAATGGCCATTGCGACATGCAACTGTAATGAACAGGCTCTGTTTCTGCAGCACTGAGCAATCTTGTTAAGGCAACAAAACAGGGCAGTTTGTCCCTCGCCTATGCAGCAAAGACTTGGAAGTTCGAGGATTACCTATATGCAGCACTTTGCGCTACCAGAATCTGCTGACAAGAACTCTCTGAACTCTTTACTCATCTACAGGGGCTGAACTAAGAAAACCCCCTTGCTCATTCATTCTATAGCTCAAGGAACAAATATTCTTTTTCCCTGTATCTGGTTATCTCTAAATGAGACCCTAATCAGTAAAGTTGTATCTGAATAAAGCATGTTGGGTAGTTTTAGAACCAATTTTCTGTATAAACTTTCTTTATGAACTATTATTTCTTAATTTTAATATGAATGTTTGAACTAAAACATCACTGCTGTTGGACTTTAGGTTTCAGATTCCCAATTTGAAGACAAACTGGCTAGGCATGGATTATTTCTGCCTGTCAACACTCATGTAGATAAAACTGAATCTTAGGTATATTGTTATCTTTTTCATTTCAGCCTCTAACTGACTTTGAAATTAGTTTCCTAAATGCAATTGGAGATCTGCTTGACCTCATTCCTGCCTTAACCTCAGACTCAAGAAACAATGATTTTCTTTCTATGCCAGAAGTTTCTAGGATGTATCAATGGGATATGGGTCATTGCTCAGCTTTAATCAAGGTGAGAGCATTAGTATTTAAAAAAAAACTTTTACTTTAGGATTACAAGGGCTGATGAAACCGATCACAGCACAATCCAAGCAGTCTACAAATATTAATCCATTATCAATACAACCTGCTTATTCTCCATTATTCTTATTACCTGGGGTTTCAGGAGCACTGCTGTAACCAACTGAATTAGCCAACCCAAAAACGTTGATTCATCTCTTTCAACAGCTTAAATAGCCTAATTCTATTTATTCAGAGGCCTTTCAATTTAATGCAGGATGTGAATCCAACATGAAATTAGGGAAACCGAAGCTTCACATATTACTAAGTAGCATGAGAATCCATAAAATTTGGATGCATTTTTAACAGGTTGGAATTAAGTGGCAGGCACACAGTAGAATATACCTAAGAAATTAAGACATATATTTGTTTTTCAAATATTTTGGAGTTAGTTTCCTGCACTGGGCAATGGGTTGGACTAGATATTTCCCAAGGTTCCTTCAGTCCTATAATTCTATTATTTCTTTAAGCCCTTAGGGTTCAGATATATGGCAAAGCCCATCAAATGGTTATTTCAATGATGGTTTTTGATGTTTGCTTCTAGTTTTACCTTGTCTGCTGAATATGCACTGGTTGTTATGGTATTCAGGTTATATTATTTTTAATTGTTGTTGGCTACCCAGAGCCTTTATGATGAGATGGGTGGCCTTAAAAACGTAAATAAATAAATAGTTCTGGTTCCATGCGTCTGGATTGGACAGGTTCATAAACTGAAGGTCCATTTGGACTTAAAATTTCTGCTTGCAGGTGGCAGCTGTGACTTGGAAGGCCTTTACATAATTCCATTTTATGTGTCAATTCCGAACATTCCCAGATCAGGAGATGCAGTTCTCAACTGAACGATTGTAATATGATTTACATGGGATTGTTTTTGAAAACTACTTGAAAGCTACAACAGGTCCAGAATGCAGTGGCTTGCCCATAATGCTCTTATGGGCATTTCTTATTTTCTTCAGATAATTCCATCACTGCAAGAGGTGTACTGTTACTCATTGGCTTTCAAGTTTAATTCAAGGTTCTGTTTGGCATTTTAAAGCCCTATATGGCTAATGATCTGGATATCTTTGAGATTGCCTACTCCCAGGGGTCTCTGACAGTCTCAAGGTAGTTCAGACAGGAAGCAAATTCAGATGAACTAATTCTACTTTATTGTAAGATTACAGCAACCAAATCTCACAAGTCTGGAAGTACATTTCTCCCCTGTTGCCAAGAAGTCCAAGAAACTAGGGAGGGTCTGAGATGTTTGCCACACCCACATTCCTGCTGCAGGCTAACCTGCCTCTTATTGGCTTGGTTTCCCTAGCCTATGTTTCGTCCCTTGTCTCTCAAATTCATTTTATATGCCATTACAGTCTCTGTACAATAAAATATTTTGGTGTAAGCAGCCATCAAGTCCTATCTTTGAAAGTCTATTAGGGACCATGTAGACATCCTTTTTCAACTACTATTCTTTTCCTTTGAACAGATCTCCACCTAAAGTTAGATAAGACCACACCTGTACAAAAGAGGTGAGCTTGGTTTGCACCATTGCACCTGCCATCTTGCCAATTTTCACACACACCAGTGATGGTGTCCTGCTTTCCTGTGTGCAAGGAACGCTAAGAAAGCTAACTTGAATAGTTTTCATGACTTTTCAGCTCCATAGGTCTGCTGAATACAGTGGGGACCTCCCTCCCTCCATTTTTTTCTTTTTTATTCTTATCCAATGGATAGTGGCAGGGAAAAAAACCCCTCACTTTTTTGTCTTTCCTGGCCTAAATCCTTAATTCTTGCAACACCTTCAAAGTTGTGTAAGGCCAGTTCTTCTATTACCTGTTTTTCCCCCAAAATAAGACCCTAGCTTATATATTTTTTGAACCCTGAAATAAGCGCTTGGCCTTATTGCCATGTGCTCAAAAGCCTGATTGGGCTTATTATCAGGGGGATATCTTATTTTGGGGGAAACAGGGTAATGTTTTAATTCACATTACTAATTGTATGCAGGCTATAAAAATACTAACCAACAATTAATAAAAGGATTTTTTAAAATGTTAAATTCCATAAAAGAAAAACAAAAGTGATTTGTCTGTTATTTCTAGATAACTAATTCATTCTTTTTCTCAGGTCCTCCCTGGATATGAGAATATCTACTTTGCTCATTCTAGTTGGTTCACATATGCTGCCACTTTGAGAATATATAAACATTGGGACTTCAGAATTACTGACCCACAGACAAAAACAGGACGTGCCTCTTTCAGCAGTTATCCAGGTAATTTAGATGAATGAAAAATGCCATATGTGTTTCTTAGTTTGTCTGTAAGCTATAACCATTTCCAATTTGGAGCTCTACAGTATATACACATAAACAAAAAAAATTTCTCCCCACTCATATTTAGAATACAAGTACCATCTTCCATTGGCTAGGTTAGCTGAAGATAATCCAACATAGCCCAACAGCACTGCATTCAGAATAGTGTTGTAGAGTTTTATAATGTAATATGAATAGTTTTTATCCCAGAGCTATAATTGCACTCAACAATGAACTAAAGGGCCACCATCAGTGAGCTGTTGGACAGCATTACTTGGTCTGTTGTGTGGATGTTTGGGTGGTTTAGGTGTGGGGAATTTGTGGTGGGTGGGGGGGTGTTATGTGTATTGGACCTGGTCTTTGGGTGTTAAGTGAATTTCGTTGTATGGGTATACTGTGTACACACGTACAATGACAATAAAGTTGTTATTATTATTATGAAAGTTCTTTGACACACACAAAAACAGTTACAGATCAATTGTACAGATGTCTACATTAGAATTGAATCTTAAGTAATAAAATAAATGATTTTTCTTATGGTGCCTTTTGTGAGATGAAAAGCAAGGAAAGCTTTTCCCAAGATGAGTTGAAGTCAGGGATGAATATGCAGCATTGCAGTCCTTTATATATTGTGTTCCCATCCCAAAAGATTGGACTGCACGTATCCCCAAAAGAAACTGGAATAGTTAGATCCATCTTGAATCCTCCTTCTCCCCTATAGTTCATATGTGGCAATCATTACTCAAACCATGACATGGACTGAAAGGGAGTATAATTTTTTCTGGTCTTGTGAATAATTCTTCATGTATTTTGTTAAAATGAATTTAATGTGCCTGGGGCTGAAAGGACATTCATGTGCAAATGAATGCCCCCATATAAATAAAACCACTGAGAAGGTCTTTACCTGATTGTGTTTTGTTGGAGACACTGAAAGAAAAGCCTCTTTGTAGACTTGGCCAGTCCTGTCCAATCCACGTTTCTGGAAGCAATTGTAGAATGCATGACCTCTTCACAAATAGATCCAGTTCACCACTTCCAGAGTCTCATTGTTGAAAACCTTATATAATTTAACTGAATTTGGTTTCCTTTCGTTTATAATCAGTTGATTCTGGTGTAGAATTCTGTAGATTCTTTGTTTTTATCCATTTAATTTCCTTCATTTGCGGAAATCAAGCATTAGAATAAAAAAAATATGAAGGGTTTCTTTTTGAATAACAAATTTTTTGAAAATTCTTGTTTCAGGCTTTTTGGTTTCCCTAGATGACTTTTACATACTTGGCAGTGGATTGATTATGTTGCAGACCACAAACAGTGTATTCAACCTTTCTCTTCTTAAACAAGTGGTACCCGAGAGCCTCTTTGCATGGGAGAGAGTCCGTATTGCCAATATGATGGCAGATTCTGGAAAGACCTGGGCCCAAACCTTTGAAAAACAAAATTCTGGTTGGTATATGGGAATCTTTTCACCCATGATTCTATGGGGGGAAAAGCACAGTTAAGATTTAACTATTTTCTCACTGCTCTCTAGGTACTTACAATAACCAGTATATGATACTTGATACAAAAAAGATCAAATTGCGAAGAAGCATTGATGATGGGACTCTTTATATCATTGAACAGGTTCCCAATCTTGTAGAATATTCTGATCAAACAAATATTCTCCGTAAAGGTAAATACTTATGTAAGAGTTTTTGAATAATGGAATACGGGAGAGGGCCAAAGGTAAATAACCTCAACTAAAACTTCCTAATAGAAATTGCAAATAATCTCAATGTTAATAAGCGCAGTTTACCAGGAATTCAAAATTTGTATTTATAGAAATAATTGTGTGTGTGTGAGACAGTACTAAATACAAATTTCCTTTGTGCTACAGAGGGTAGACGATGTAAATTCACATTCTTTTGCTGAATTTGAAATTCCTTAAATACCTCAGCTTTGCCAAATGTAACCTCTTTTTATGAAATTTTTCTACCATGCTAGTTTGGCTCACATTCCCTTGCGACTCAGTGTTTTAGAACTTGGTTAATGTTTCTTGCAGCTGAATTCAAGCAATGTACAAAAGCTCCAGCTGAACTTATTCATTGGTAAAGCCTTGTTTTGCAGGATACTGGCCTTCCTACAACATCCCTTTCCATAACATAATTTACAATATGAGTGGATATAGAGAATATGTTCAAAAGTATGGTTTGGACTTTTCTTATGAAATGGCCCCAAGAGCAAAAATCTTCCGACGGGACCAAGGAAAAGTAACTGATATTGAGTCCATGAAGTACATCATGAGATATAATAGTATGTCATTTAAAATTTTTCTATTGATTTTTTTAGATTGTTTTCTCTTCCATAATAAAAAAACCTCATTATCAAACATTTGTTTTGCAATAACGATATCTGCTCATCTTTCATAATGTTAAACTATGCAACTCTTGGCCATTATCTGTTGAATCTAGTTAAAATAAAGAAATGTTGAATTTTAAATACATCATATTTTTCGATACAATTTTCCAAGTCTGTGAGTGACAGGAGCCAAATTTCTATTACTTATTGTTAAACAACTTCTCAGAGTAGACCTCTTTTCTACTCTCTTATTCTAACCTGCTTCATAGATAAAATCCAACTGGGGTGGAAAGAAAATGACTCCAATTTCTTTGAAGGAGAAGCAAGAATCAAATGACAGACTTCTGACTCTACAGATACAGGGTTAAATCATGGTTAAGCAAGGGAGCGAAAATTTACTTATCCCTTTCCCTTTATTTCCAGATTATAAGAAAGATCCATACACAAGACACAATCCCTGCAATACCATTTGCTGCCGAGAAGACTTGAAGCACAAGGCTCCAGTTCCAGCTGGATGCTATGATTCTAAGGTACACATTCTTAAAGGAATTGCCCCACTATAGATATGTGTGGAATGGAGAAAACATTAGCTGGTTCACATTATTCTGCATACACAATACTCTCCCCACTGCACATCATTATATGTGCCTGTAATTACTTGTGCATTCAAATGCAGGTGCCAGCAGCTGGCCAAACCAAGCTACCTTGACAATCATTGACATCATTTTTATCATGCTTCCATTGATAGCAGCTTTCATCTTTATTTAGTTAACTTTATTGATTAGTCCTTGGGCCATATTAAAGTGAAGAGTTCCAGACACAAATTATTTTATATATATAATAATATAAAAATAATATAAAAACAATTTAAAATGGAATTGGATAAAATACAATTTAAAATGAAATTGGAATAAAATACAGTTTAAAATGAAGTTGGAATAAAATACAATAATTTAATATATAAATAACTGAAATATGATAAAATTAGCTTTTGTCTAATTAACAGTTAAAATTAAATGAGAATTCCATGTAAATACTTGTTTTTGTGTTGGGATTGTAAAGTATAGCCATTTCAGAGGGAACTTGGGAACTATTCCAGTTTCCTGCAACAGACTGGACGTTGTCTTACCTGAACGTCCCTTTTCTGGGCGCTGCGTACACTATCCATCAATGGGTTAACTTCTTCAGCCTTTGGCAATAACTGAGTGAGAGCTCAATTTCCCTTTCCTGTGGCCCTGCCACGCCCCCAATCCCATGATCCCCAGTCTGAACGAAGTTATAGGAGACCACACCATGTCAGGTAAGTAACATAGCTTTAATAAATCAATTGTAAAGGAACAAACACAGATAACGATAACTGGGCCGAAGCCAACTAACGAAGGGAGGGTATGGATAGTGTACGCAGCGCCCAGAAAAGGGACGTTCAGGTAAGACAACGTCCATTTTCCTGTGCGCTGCTCCCACTATCCATCAATGGGATATACCCAAGTTTAAACCCCATGGGCGGGAAGCTGAGTGCCTCCAGAGTCCTCCTCTGTCACCACCGACTGCAGCACCCTGCGGCCGAAGGAGGCTTCTGCAGAGCTGTAGGCGTCTATTCTGTAGTGACGGATGAAGGGCGTCACCGATGACCAGGTTGCCGCTCTGCAAATATCTGCCACCGACGCCTGCGTTGCCCAGGCCGCCGATGTGGCCGCGCTGCGGGTGGAGTGTGGGAGGATCCGACCTGGAGGAGGTTTAGTGTTCAGCTCATATGCTAAAACGATGCAGGCCTTGATCCATCTGCTCACCGTAGATGCTGAGACCTTCAGACCCATGGAGGCCGGGTTGAATGACACTAGCAGCGCCTCCGTATGACGGAAGGCCGCCGTCCTGTCAATGTAGATGCGAAGGGCGCGCCGGACATCGAGGGAGTGCCATTGTTTCTCCTTGGTGTTGCGCGGGCAGGGGCAGAAGTCCGGAAGGATGAGTTCCTGGGCGCGGTGGAACCAGGAGTTCACCTTGGGGATGAAGGCCGGATCCAGCCGCAAGACCACCGAGGTGTCCCTGAAGATGCAGAGATCCTTCCGGATCGAGAGTGCTGCTAGCTCCGAGACTCTTCTGGCTGAGGTGATGGCCAGCAGGAAGGTCACCTTAAGCGATAAGTGTTTGAGGGCAGCTGAATCTAAAGGCTCAAAGGGGGGGCCCATTAAGGCTCGGAGAACTAGTGGAAGGTCCCAAGACGGGTACCGGTGCACTGTGGGGGGGCGCAAGTTCTTGGCGCCATGGAGGAATCCCCTAATGCGCGGGTGATGGGACAGCGCCTGGTAGGGCGGGCATGCGATGACTGTGGACAGAGCCGCTGTCTGGCGTCTTAGGGTCGCAGGCGCCAGCCCTTTCTCCAGTCCTGACTGCAGGAATTCCAGGATGTTCTGGACCGTTGCCGAAGTTGGGTCCTCATGGTGCTGGGAGCACCAGCGGCAGAACGCCCGCCACGAAGCTTCATAAATGCGGGTCGTTGAGGACCGTCTGGCAGCTTGGATAGTATTTACTACCCCATCTGATAGATTATCTCTTTTTAGGATGACCCTCTCAAATGCCAGACGGTCAATTGTAGCCACTGAGGCTCTGGATGCGTGACCGCCCCTTGGCAGAGTTCCACCTGATGGGGGGGGGATCTGCCAGGGTTGGCCCACGGATAATGCCACGAGATCGGCGTACCATGGTCGTCGAGGCCAGTTGGGTGCCACTAGCAGTAGGTCGGCTTCCTCGGCCAGCAGTTTCCGGATGAGGCGAGGAAGGAGGGGAATTGGTGGAAAGGCGTAGAGTAGGCCCTTGGGCCACCTGCATCGTAGGGCATCGTGGTCCTCTGCCTGTGCTGATGGGTAGCGGGATATGAAGCGGGTCAGCTGGGCGTTGCTCGGGGTCGCAAAGAGGTCCACCTCCGGCCTCCCGAAGCGGGCGCTGAGCTCTCGGAATAGACGTGGGTGTAGCTGCCACTCCGCTGGGTCTATCAGTTCGCGGCTGAGCCAGTCCGCCCTGACGTTGGTTGCTCCCGAGATATGCTCCACCTTGATGGACAGCAGGTGAGCCTCCGCCCAGGCGAATAGGGCCTCGGACTCGAACATCAGCGCGCGGGACCTCGTGCCCCCCTCCTTGTTGACGTGTGCTTTTGCTGAAATGTTGTCCGTGCGGATCAAGATGTGCTGGCCTTGAACTGCGGCCTGGAATTGACGCAACGCCAGCCTGATTGCTCGGAGTTCTAGGAGATTGATGCTGCTGCCTCGCTCGCTCCTGGACCACTGGCCCTGGGCTACCAGATGGTGCAGGTGGGCACCCCAACCCCGCAGACTTGCATCTGTGGTTAGTATGAGTCTCTCCGGGTCCAGGAACTCGCAGCCCTTGAGGAGCGCGGGGGACCTCCACCACCCGAGGGAGAGACGGACCTGAGATGGTATGGTTACCTTGCGTTTCAGGTTGGTCTTGCCTGTTCTCTGGAAGGGCAGCAGGAACCATTGGAGGGCCCGCGAGTGTCTGCGTGCCCACGGAACGATACCGAAGCAGGATACCATCTTCCCGAGGAGTGACGCTAGTTGAACCAGGGGCACTCTCCCCCCTTCCGAGACCTGTTGGACTAGATTCCGAATGCTCAGGATCCTCTCCTGAGAGAGGAACACCTGGCCCTTGACCGAGTCGATCTCCGCCCCCAGGTGCTGAAGGCGGGATGACGGCTGTAGTTGGCTTTTCTCGAAATTGATGGAAAATCCATGGTCTTGGAATGCTCGAAGGACTCTTTCCATATCCCTGGTCGCCTGGCCTTGTGACGACGAGAGGATCAGAATGTCGTCGAGGTAACAGAGGAGGTGCACCGGAATGGTGTGGAGTGTGGCCGCCACCACCGCTACAAGCTTGGTGAAGGTGCGGGGCGCCGACGAGAGTCCGAAGGGCATTGCGCGGTACTGGAAGTGCCGGCCTGCGAACTCGAATCTCAGGAAGCGTCGGTGACTGGGATGGATTGGCACATGTAGATAGGCCTCCCGCAGGTCGACTGACTGTAGGAGATCCCCTCTTCTTACGCCCGCTAATATTGTCTTGAGGGAGTGCATTTTGAATCTGCGATACTTTACCGACCGGTTTAGTCGTTTGAGATTCAGAATGGCTCTCCAGCCTCCCGAGCTTTTGGGCACCAGGAAGAGGGTTGAATAGAAACCTGAGCCTTGCTGGTCGTGAGGCACCGGTTCTATAGCTCGTATCTCCAGCAGGTGTGAGATCTCCTGTGCCAGAAGGTTTCTGAGGTCTTTGGACTGTGGGACCGGGCAGCGTACGAAGCGACTGGGAGTAGGACCGGAAAATTCGATGGAGAGCCCCGAGGAGATCGTGCGTTGAATCCACGAGTCCTCTGTTGACTGGGCCCATTGCTGGTGGAAGAGTTGGAGTCTCCCGCCGATGGGGCCCGCGGTCCGGCCGTCACTTTCCCCTTCTGGCGGTTTTGAAACCAGCCCCACGGAAGGACCGTTTAGCTTGCTGAGGCCGGCCGCGGTCTCGGAACTGAGATCTGTCCTGGTGTCTACTTGCACTCTGGAATTGGGAGCGTTGTGGTGGGGGTCCTCTCGGCCCCGGGCTGGTCCGAAAAGGCTGCTGGTACGAGTAAGGTGTGTATCTGCGATCCTGCCGCCGGTACGCTGATGGGAGCACCTTCCTCTTGTCTTTATCTTCGATCAAGACTGGATCCAGGGCTGCCCCAAACAAGTCTGGAGCCTTGTACGGGGCCGCGGCCAGCTTCCATTTGGCTTTAAGGTCTGCCTTCCAGGGGCGAAGCCAGAACAGCCTCCTTGCTGTGATGTTCGAGGCCAGAGATCTAGAGGCGAATTTGGCGGAATTTAGTGATGCATCCGCGGCGTATTCGGTGGCGGCTACGATCTTATTCAAGTCCTGATGTAGCCTGGTGTCCTCCGGGGGCAGCCTTTCCTGTAACTGGCGTAGCCAGATGAGGGTGGCTCTGTTGAAGAAGGAGGTCGCTGTTGCCGTCCTGATTGCCCAGGCCGCTGCCTGATGAGACTTACGGAGGGCCCACTCCGTCCTCTTATCCTCAGCTTTGAGCCCATCTACCGCATCTGTGGACACCATCGATGAGGAAGACAGGGAGGCTACTGGCTGGTCCACCGATGGTAGGGCTAAGAGGTCCTCCAAGTCCTGGGCCGAGCAGTAGAGCTTCTTTTCCAGGCTGCTCGGGGTTGTTAGCGAGGCTGGCTGTCCCAAGGGGTTCTGGATCACGTCAGAAAACAGCTGGGGGCAGGGGATGCAGTCCTTCTCCTGCTTGGAGGACTTGAAGAGCGCATCATGGGGACCCGCGGCCGCGGGTTTGGGTGCGGAGATCTCCCCAGGCATGCCCAAATTGGTTGTGAGGCGCGCCTTGTGCAGGAGCGACTTGAATAGGGCTGGACGAAACAGGCCCGTGAAAGCCGGAGAATCTGGCATCAGACCCTCGTCCTCTGAAAATTCGAGGGGCTCTGGACCTTCCTCGGCTTGGTCTGAATCCTCTGACGAGGATGACTGGGCATGCGCCTGGTGGTGCTGGGCCCGTTGCTGTTGTGGTGCCCCTTGAGTTGGTAGTTGGCGAGGGGGCCCTCCTGCAGCCTGTTGCCAGCCTGCAGCCAAGAAGGATGACATTGCGGCTGAGAACATGGTCTGGAAGTCTAGCTGGTTGGCTGGTAGGGGTCCCTCTGGGGTACGGAGGCCGGCTGCCGTTGGCGTGAAGGTTGCTTCCGCCCCCCGGTGGCGCCAGTGAGGAGAGTCTGATAAGGGCATATCCGGCAAGGAGCGAGAAACTCCTCTGGCCCGTGGTAACTCCTGGTAAGGCCCAGCTGCGCTCGGGGTTGCTGGTGTTAGGGTCAGCTCTGTCAGGCTTGTTATGCTGGTGCTCGCCTCTGCACGTGCTTGGGGGGTGGACCTGGGCGATTCAGGGCCCAGGGCCGGTGTTGCCGCTCTAACCATCTGTGCCTTATCACAGAGGCGCTCTAGGGTTTTGTGGCGCCTTGCAGCGTCCTTGTCGAGGAACTGGGGCTCCTTTCCCCCGCAGTCTTTGTGATTGGAGGATCGCTTCTTTGAGTGCTTTCTTGAGGTACTAGCCTCCTTGCGAGGTGGGCTTGCCTCTAGCTCTGGGTCTGATGAGAAGGGGGCATCTGACATGGCCATGGTTGCCATCCAAGCCCCTCAGCGAGATAGTTTGGGCTGTGCCTTAATTGAATCCCCTGTGCCGCCTGGGGAATGGAGTCCAAACTCTCAGCAGCGAGGTATTCCCCTTAAGATGGCCCCGCAGGTGGGTGTGGGCCTCCAACTGCCGCTCTGGGAGGGGCTAGCCTCGTGAGGATGGAACCAAGATGGCGGCCCCGGGGGGGGTCCTCCAAGATGGCGCGAGCACGTGGCTTTGAATCCGAGGCTGGGGAAGCTGCGGTCTCACAGCGGCGGCCCGAAGGTCCTACCGCCTGCCGCGCTCAGCCCAAAAAAACAGCCCCAAGGGCTCCGACAACGAGGAGAATGAGGGGTGGGGGCTGGATGCCTCCCGCGCTGCTCTCCTGTTAAGTGCGTGCGTTGCGCTGGGCTATGCGGGCTGCGGACTCACAGCGGCGGCCCGAGGGTCCTACCGCCTGCCGCGCACGGAGAAGGACAGCTTCAGAGATTCCTGGGGCTGAAAGGGGGCGGCTGCTTGTCTTACCGCTCTCCACTGTCCCTTCGCTGCTCCGGCGGTTGCTTGCTTTGATCCCCGCTAGCGGGGGTAGCTGTCTCTGCTCGCTTTCTCTCCCCCCCCGCTGTTGGTAACGGAGGCTGTGAGCGCGCGCGTGGGCGGCCGAAAGCGTCACCGCCTCTCAGCTGTTGAGCCGATCTTCTTATTTCGGCTTTAAAGGCAGGGAACCGTAGCAAAAAAATAACTAGTCAAAAATAAAGTAAAAACCTAAGGAACGCTAAGGAAGGGAAGAAAAAATAGGCTTCTGAAGCCTGGAGCTCTGATGGACACTTCAGTCTTTGCCAATAACTGAGTGAAGACTGGGGATCATGGGATTGGGGGTGTGGCAGGGCCACAGGAAAGGGAAATTGAGCTCTCACTCAGTTATTGCCAAAGGCTGAAGAAGTTAACCCATTGATGGATAGTGGGAGCAGCGCACAGGAAAACAGTACAGAGTAAAATGTTTAATTCTCCCTTTAAAATTGAGGCAAAGGGTCTCTAGTAGCCTTAATCAGCCTGGCTAACTACAATGGACATTCAGAATTATAGCTTAGCAACCCTTGGAAGAGCCATAGCCATTCCTATCCTTGAGAAATTAATACTATTTAAGGAATATCATAGTCTGTGTTCTTAACCTGTGTGTAGGCTGCAAGATTCAATCTGAGAGTCACCAGGATAAAAGATTTGTTCTCCCAAGCTTTCAGTCTTGTGCTGGAGTCCATCATCAGGGAAACAGCACAAGCCCGAAAACTTGGAAAATAAACTTTTGGTCTTGGTGTCTGACTCAGATTTGATCCTGCAACGTTATCTTGGGACATGTACACTTAACTTCATTTGTATGTGTAGGTTGTTTGGTTTTGTGGAAGGAAGATTCAGAAATTCTGAACACTGACCTGCCATTTTTATCCATCATTTTTGCATATTTGCAATGATACAGAAGACTCATACAGGAACAGAACATTGAGATATCTGTAATTACTTACTTTTTACTTCAGGAAGTCAAAAAAGAGAAATAGTAAGAATTGTGAGGGAAATAGTTAAAGGAGTTAATTGAAATATGGGCAAAATATGAACAGAAAGGTTGGTTGGTCAGTTGGTTTATTTAAAGCATTTATATGGCCATCCAACTCAGATAATATGACTCTTAAGTAGCATTAAAAAAAAAAGGAAAAGTCAAAAGTCAAAACCAACAAACAGAAAAACCCCAACCTGTATCATTAAAACCATGTAGGCAATAAATGGCGAACACTGCTGAAGTGCAGTATAACTGCTATTGATGGGGACTCTACTCATTCTGGCCAAAAGGCTTGTAATGGTTTGCAGGTTCCAGCCAATTTATGCTGAAGGGAGGATTACACCAAAAGGGCCACCATTGAGAAGGCACATCTCCAGGGTCTCATAAGATGATATGGAAAAGGACATGCCCCTCCAATTGCAATGTGTGGGATGGAGAGATATTGTATGCTTGGAGGGCTTTTGTAGGTGATAACCAACAACTTGAATTACACCCAGAAGCCAGTCAGTGTAGCTCATGGAGCAACAGTGTCACTTGGGTGTCACAAGAAATTCCCATTACTACTACACCACCACATTCAAGACCAATTGTAGGTTCTGGATAGTTTTCGAAGATAGTTGTATGTGCAGCACATTACAAGACTGAGTACCTTTGGGTTAGAGAAGAAACAGCACAAGATAATTGTTAAGATTATCTCACTGAGGAGGTTGGTTGTTGAAATCTCACCATGCTTTCATTGCTAGGGAATGTGGCTTAATATTTGATAATCTATTCATAAAATCAGCTCAAGACAAAACCTGGATAAATCCAAATTTGTCATGGATCCTTGTGTGCCAGCTTTCTTTTTATTTAAATATAGGAAATTGTTCAGTCCTCTCTCCTTGCTTTACAGAGAACTAAAATACACAAAATCATATCTCACCAGTATCAAATGTATGATTTAGTATCTGCATTCTGGTCCTCAATTCACCTTGCTGAATAAAGGGGCCTGGTTTGCGGCACATGTGATTCAGTTAACATGGTTTGGATTGTCCTGGGCCATTTCTGAATAATTTTGCTTTCTTTTAATCTCACATAGAAAGAAAAAAAAACCAATGAATTAAAATGACCCATTTATATGGGGATTTTAGAAATAATTTGTGCATGTTATATTTGTGAAATATCCATCTACCCCTTTTCTCCTCTTACATGACCTCTTTTTTAAAATTTTGTATAGGTAGCAGATATCAATATGGCTGCAAAATTTACAGCCTATGCCATCAATGGCCCACCTGTGGAGAATGGCCTGCCTATCTTCAGCTGGGTTCATTTCAACAAGACGAAGCACCAGGGTCTGCCAGAGTCATATAACTTCGATTTTGTTACTATGAAACCAGTGCTGTGAATCTGTAAATTCTGTAAATTGTGTTTACATCAAATAAACAGACCTGGATATACCTTGATTTTATGCATGGCTTATGAGAAAGATAAAGCCTAATATATGCAAGTATATATGGGCATAATAGCATATATAACCTTGGATTCTAGATGAATTCTGGCAGCTGCTTAGTGAATTTCCAGCAATTCCACAAATAGTTCCTAGTTGTGTGCTTTGTTGCCTATTCTATCATCTTTGCCTGTTTATCTGTCTTGTTTCTCTGACATTTATATACTCTCTCTCTTTCTCTCTAGTATTTTGAACTGATATTTCCATTTTTTAAACCAAATGATCTTTTATTCTTCCAAACTAATCACACAAAACTCAAAAGTTTAAAAACCCAGTAGTTTATTTCAAAGTATAAATTTCAGGCGTATCAAGACAAAACCCCACTACAATTAACACATACAGACACTAGTCTACAATGCATATAAAAGTTAGGAGAACTTGCCACCGTCCTGCTTAAACTGGACTTTTTGGTACAGCCTACATTATTTACATGTTCATCTGTTGAAGAAAAAAAATCAAGAGTGCAAATTTCTATAAGGAGTTTTGTATAAGTTTATTTATCAGTGCTTATAAATTACTGATCTGAAGAGTATCTCAGGTTTTGGCTGTCCAGTTGCTTTATTTACAGTTAAAATTTAAACTTAGTCTTAAAATATATTTTCAAGCTAGCACAAGAAGGTAAGAAACCAATCATTCTGCTTTAAAATATAGGTGAGATCCAATGATAATACTGTAGAACACAATTTGATTTGCATTCTTGCATATTTGTACATTACTCTCAACATAACCTCTATACTGCTAAAAATATGTTTATCCAATTTTCATACACCCCAAATATGAAGATCTTAAAAACAGCAAGATTTCATATGCAAAATGAACAACTTTGCCACTGAATGAATGAGAATACTAAAGAAAGTGTAAGATGGCATCAACATAATGTAGTTTCATATTCTGGTTGTAGTTCTTCTAGCCAATACTGTGATATTGCAAGTCAAGGGATAAATAAAAATTATTGAAGCACTAATACTACATGTAATATGGATTCTAGAGCCGCAGAAGTCCTGGACACGTAGTAGCAATTGATTGGATCAGTCTAACATTGAATGAATGGACCAATTTAATGTGGTACAACCCATGTTCTAATTCTAATGGGTTGTTCTCAGACATTTTGTCAACATTTACTTTTAAGTCTTTTTATGTATAATTTAAAGAGGCACAGAAATTGCCCAACATGCTGAAAATACAGATTAATCAGGGTGTTTCAGTAAGCATTAAACATAGTGTTTTTGTTCAGAGTTCTTAGGGCATTTATCAGTATCACCGAACATATCCTCTATCATTAAGTTGCTAATATAACAAGCATGTTGCATGTCTTGTTCTCCACAATCTAAATTCAACCAATTTTTTTTTGTATAAAGTGTAATTTGGGGAAAAAATTGAACAGAAATAAGCTAACAAGTTCCAGACCCAGATAACAATCTTCTAGCTCACTTTCAGAATTTATATCATTTCTTCTGAAATGGAACTTGACTACTACTAGTAGCTGCATTATCAGTATTAAAGAGCAGAACATTGCTGAAATATAGTTTCACAGTGAAATTATTGTAGAAAAAGATGTCTAAACCGGGCCAGGCATACACTGCGATAAAATAGGTGTGGTGAGAAAAAAAAATACCAACATGGTACAATGTAGACAGTGAAATTTTCTTTTCTTCTTTAAGGTCTTTCAAGAAATATCTCTTCTATCCATACTATAACAAGCTCACAGTGCTGAGTGGGATGCAGTTTCTCAATCAACACAGAATAAAAATCCAGCATTAGTCGAGTTTGTTGCCATGCAATCCTGTTTATAGTAGTTTGATAGAAAAAGAATAAAGTCCCCATTATCTGTTGCAAGGACATATTAATATCTACAGATTCAGATTTTTTTCCCCAGCCAAAGGCAGAGAATTAAGCACAGAATATAAAATATGTGTTTTGCCATTACTTACACATAAGGATTTGTTTCTGCTTAACTCCGTATTGCTTTATATAACTTGTGAGGCATGCTCATTCTGTTTTGGAAAATGTAGCATCCTATTCTATCAGCTGCAGTTCATAAATCTGAAGGCTAACAACTATCCTCTAAAATGCTAATTTAAGAAGTGCTGAAATTAACATCTGCCACAAACTTACTTGAACATGGAACGAGATCTGATACTGGAAACTGGAACTGAAAGTTCTTGAATGACTTCTTATGCCTTCTGTTAAAGTTGTAGGTCCTAGTACCCTAACCTCAAAAAGAAAGTTGCACACCTTATGAAAATATACTTTCCTCCCAGATGTTCTCAGGCCTGATTTTATTATCCAAGTACCAAAAAAAAAAAAAAAAAAAAAAAAACCCAAAAAAGGAAAAAAAAAAAAATTTTTTAACAAAAAAAAAAAAAAAAAAAAAAAAAAAAAAAAAAAACCCTAAAAGGGCAAATAACAATACATTGGCTACAAACAATAGGAACTGCCAAATTAAACAGTAAAGTCCAATGCTTCTTTAAAAAATAATAATAAAAATAAAAATAATAATAAATGGTTTTGTAATTAAATGCTCCTTCCATTGATTTCTGATCCCTTTTCGTTGTCTGCATTTTGCATTTTTCAGCATTCAAATTAAGATGTGGGCTAAATATACTCCTTCCGTATATAATAAAAATCTTGTGACCATTTCAGAGATGAGTTTCTAGCTAATCAGTTGTTTTATTTCCAGATTTTTGAAGGTAATAAGAAAATGTGATAAATTGATTATATGCCAATTACCAACTGATTGAATAATTCATAATACGCAAAACAAAATTTACTCACTCAAAAATAGTTTCTGGCTACAACACATAGAGACAAACAAGTTTCCACATTATTCTCAGAAAAATAAGACACAAAATGCCACAAGACTATGGTTTTTCTTTACTGAAATACACCTGCCCACATAAACAGCATTAAGACCCTGTCTTCCTAAGCTAGCTTCTGACTCTGCCTTTTTTGAACTTTGCATTTCTATTCCAACTCTATCAATTTCAGAACAGGAAGTAATAGAAGTGCCAAGCAATGCAGTGAAGAGTTACCACTCACTATTTAATAGGCATTATCAACCAAGAAGATAATGTACGTCCTATTTTTCTCTAGAATATAGTATGGTAGTTATTTCCATGCCAGGTGTAGCTTATTTATTTTCAGTAGCCATGAGCTTTGCTGAATTGGAAAAAGTAGAGGATCTATTCTGTTGTTTGGACTCAGTAAGTATAGAATTTTCATGAAGTTGTTACACAGAATTCTAGATATTTGTGTCTGTTTGTTAAGAAAATGAGGTTTATTTTTGGCTACCTACCATCTTAAGAACAGCATGATACAGCTAAACGGTGTGAGAGTGATAAATCTTCACAGATTAAATTAAATAAGTAATGTAAACATTAGCATGAATTATTGGAAAACCTGGGTATTACTTGTCAAGTGAATCTGCAATGAGAAATTATGACATTCTAGGGTTGCCAAAAGAGCTGAATATTGAAAGGATGGCAAAGAAAGAGGAACACAGAAAGTGTGACTGCATTTATTTTGAAATTATTGTTTAAGGCACAAATTAAATTATTTTTTTTAAAAAAGAGGATCATAAAAAGAGAATCAGGAAGCTATTGAAAATGCAAATGAAGTTTTCTAGAAACCTGGCTTTAGTGGTGGGCTTCAAAATACTCTCACATTCTGGTGACAAATCGAGTGCAAGCCTGCCTGGAACTTTTTCATTTCAATAAGCAGACCCATGTATAAGAACTCAAAAACTGATTGTGGGTAAGTTTTTGCCCTTTAGGAAGTAGGTTAGATGTCTTGTAAAGTACAATGGGCCACTCTTCTAGGACTAAGCACAACCCTGAATCCAGGCTTCCCACCTAACCTGGCTGTTATACTCTGCGCTTGTGCCAATGTTTGACATTAGATTTGACGCCACATGAAACATGTCAGCCAAATTCCCAAAACTTTCTAACTCACTATTTACTAGGTACAGTGACTTGTAAGCAAAGGGGAGGAAACTATTTCATCAGAAATACAAGCTGACTTGCTGGAGGTTATGAATTTATTTCAGTTTTGGTTGTAAGTTTTGTAGTGTATGAAAGAGCTCTCCAAAATAATTCTGCAGAGAAGATTTTACAATGAGTTTCATGCATGAGAACAAACTCAAAACTAGGTCAAGCCACAGCCATGGGGCAAGAATGGAAGCTTTCAATGTCTTAAGTTTAACTGCTTTGGGAAGCAATCACATCTGTTGACTGGGGGTCACAGAAGGGTCCAAAACGTCCATAGATGTCTTTAGCACGCACAGCAAAGTAATATTTGCTGCCAGACACAAACTGAGTAAGTGTGCATGCCATAGGCAGAGGAAGGGCTTTTACTTCCCCAATTTTTTTCCACTGAGAGGGTACAGTGGCACTTGGGTCCTCATGGTATGCATATAGGTGATAGCTATCCACACTAGCACAGCTCCGGTCCACTTCCAAAACACTCCAAGAAAGCACAATGCCATTTTGACTTTGCACTCGGGCTAGCTTCAGGTGTGGCTTCTGAGGCAAAGAATGGTTGGCAGCTTCAGGAGGCAGTCGGGAGGGCTGCTGGGCCTCTGGCAGAGGGGCTGGATGCACAGGCCGCAATGGCTCCTAAGGGAAAAAGAAATGGTATTGTGAAGGTGGCAAAGAAGTTGCTTCATCAGTTCAGAGCCTATATGAATTGATCGCTCAACAGTTAAAAATGCATGCACTTGACAAGTGGTAAGGAATTCCAGAAAAGGGGAGCAGTCACCAAAAACACTGGCTTCAGAAGGAACGAGAACTTGAAGAGTTCTTATAGAACCAAACAGATTATTGCAAAAGCAGGGTATTCTAGTCTATGCAATTCAAGGCTTTAAAGATTAAAATCAGCATTTTGAATTGTGCTGGAAGCAAAATAGTAATGTGTTCCTACATTTGTCAGAAACGTCTACAGAATGAATAATTTGTGGTCCATACGTAGCCTCCAGATCTTTTTCTTATGATCTCAGAAATAACCAATTTTTTCTCTTTGCATGTGCGCATGCCCTTAAATTTCCCCCACAAACCCCAATGAGCTCTAACCCTGTCCAGCTCATTGATATCATCAACTTACTATTTTTTTCTCCATCTATTGAAGTTTTTCACAGTATTGTCCCCAATTAGTTTTAAAATATTAATGATCCCTGCATAAATACATTTGATCTTCATGGTTGTATCATCTTTTCTAAATATTCATTTTAATAGATAAATGTTCTTACTGAATGTACTGGAGGAGGCCGATGATGTACTGTGAGTTGAGGTCCACCAGATCCTAAAGTTAACCCACTGTTTACAACATAAGCTGTTGTTTGAGGCACTCGCACGGTTACACCTATAAAAGATATTAGTATCAATGTATTTATGCCTTACTTTTTGGAAAGCTATTATAAACCATGCTATTTTAATAACATACAGGTAGTCCTTTATTTATCCCTACAATTAGAATTTGGTCATTGAGACACCATGTAACTGCTTTGTTTAATTACTGCAATCCTGGCACTACTGGTTGTGGTGGTTATACAATCTAGGAATCCACTAATTATTTTTAAAGAAATCAGACAGGACAACAGAAAAATCTAATGAAAAATCAAGTTGAGTTTATTTTTATTTATTTATTTATTTAATTTATATGTCACTCATGTCACCATCTAAAGAATGAAGCTGCAAAGTGAAATGCTAACACAAAAATATATTGAACATCTACATTATAAAAAAATTAAATATTTTTCGTTGAACTATTTTTCATGTCAAACATTTATGAAATCAAATTTAACCATACATCAACTATTGCATCAGAAATCAAATTAAAAGTTTAAAAAATTACTGCCTTAAAAATTTAAATTTATATTTTGAACATATTTTTATGACTTGTGTTTTTATTAGCAACTGATAATTATGTTTCAGTTCACAGCTTACAAATGTATTTTTGAAAAGGTTTCTTACCTGAACTTTGTGGGTTGATTTGCCTTAAACCAGAATTCTGCATAACAGTGGTTCGCACAGGATTCTGTCCTGATGGTGCAGGAAGAGTAGTATAGACTACTTGATGGTTAGCAGGAGCTCTTGGTACTGGGAGTCTAGCTGTAGCCTGAGTCACTGGGCGATGTGTTACATTCACAGTTGTCTGGGCTAAGAGATAGGTAAAATAATAGTAAAAAAACTTATGCTTATGAAGACCAACACCAGTTAAAGAAATGGCAGCTGTGACTTCACATTGTTGTGTAAATAAGATCTTTAGTCCCATCAAGCAACATGTGTCTACCCTAGATCTAACCATCTGGCTGACTATGTGATCAATCATAACAATAACATACAAAACATATGGAGTCAAACAAGTTTAATAGCCCAATCATGTTGACATTTTAGTTAATCATGTAGGACTTTTTGGTGTGGTTATTTCTACAGCAATCTGCAGTCAATGTAATTGTAAAAAATGCTGGTGATTCACAAGTTTTTAATAGTCATAACTCCAATGTTATTTTGTTGTCTTTTTAAGGAAAACACTATAGCATAAGAAATAAACCAATATATTACAATGGGGAAAAAATCAACAACTGAATTGTCAACTCTACATGCAAACATAGTTTTTGTTGCAGTCTTCTGATTCCAGCTGTTATTTCTAGGTTTTGATGGAAAATCTACCTTTTCATATATGGCTAGAGATAATATCTTCTACTTTCCCTTCGTTTATCAGAAACAAGTGCAGCATGGCAGAAAGTACATGAATTGTGTAAATGTACAACTGATCATTCAATGAACCACTTAAGAGACAAGCTATTTGTTCATCTTCATCGTAATTTCTATGAATAAAATCATTGTAACTATGTACCAAGTACAAAGCTTATTTTAAGTTGGTGAGTGGTGCTCTTTAGGAGAGAACCGAAGACAGTATGTTTTTCTTGAAGGAAACATCTACTTATGTGTGTTTTCAATTTGTAATGCTGTGTAACTTGTTTATACAGAGAATGTAGTAGACTATGGGAACTTTCATGTCTTGTCCAGGCATCAAAGGGTGCAAAATGATGGAATATCTATCAAAAAAGCTAAGGTTCACTAAGATAGTTATCATATGTATTTTAATACAAGGGGAAAGGAAAGAAGAGAAGAGAAGGGATGCTAGGGAGAAAAACAATCTAAGTACAATGTAGATTAGGTAGGAATCCTAATATTGAGCAGGTGAAGATAAAGAAATAAGACACAATCTCTGCAAAGGATTTTCTTGCAGGGAGGAAGTACTACTACAATAGTTTTTAAATGTTCTTTGACATGGATATTGTCTTAATTTCCTGGGACAGCAAATCTTTTCAGTGAGGGAGTTGCAACACCACTTCCCTACATATCTGCAGAAAAGCTGTGAACCAGGATGGCTTTGGCAACACTCGTGGTATTGTATAGAGAGTCCAAAGACCAAGTTTAACTTGTGGAGGATTTTATGAATACTAAGGCATTGAATTTTAACTAGATTCACATGAAAAAAACTATATTACAGAATAATTCATATCTGAATATGAATTGTTTTCATTTATGTTTTGGACTAAATGAGTAATATCTTAAACCAAATGGTTACCAATAAGTATTTTTAAGGATTTTAAGAGGTCACGTATTGAGTATAATTTAACTAAAAGTCTGCTTAGCAATCTATTCAATTGAAACAGGTATGGTCCAGATGCTCTTTCAAGTTTCGGTGGCACCTCAATACTCAAGATGTTTAGGATACGCTATATTTGAAGCAATACTGTCATTCAATTTTTATAAATTTAAAGAATATTGGTAACACAAATAATCTCCTGAATAAGGAACTGAAATACCCTATCAGGTTTTAACAAACATAAAATACACGTGTGATTTTGGAATGAAGTTAATTAGTCAGAAAACATTTTATTAGTTCAAAAAAGTCTTTTTGGGATATTTATTCTAATTTGTATAAGAAATAAGTTTTCATTAGAGCAAATGGATGATTATGTACAAAATCAAAATTTACCCAAATTATCAGAAGAGCAAGGGAAAATTATGAACAGTACAATAATGACCTTTGATATTACAGAAGCAATTAAAAAAAACTAAAATAGGTAAAGCACCAGGACCAGAGTGCTTACCGAATGGATTTTATAAGATTTTTTAAGATCAATTATTATTGATGAAGGAATGAATCTAAACCTTTTTTCTTTTACCTGAAGGACAACTAAAGGATAATGTAAGAATCATCTTGGATATAATTAAATATTTACAACAATGCAATGACAAACAGACTGTATTAATTTTTTTAGATGTAAACAAAGCTTTTGATAATCCGAATTGGGAGAGGGACTTCAGATGAGTTTTATACAAGGACTAAAATCTATACACGACAGAAGGCCTAGATTATAGTCAACGGAGAATTTATGAAACCATATGAGATTCAGAAAAACACAAGACAAGGGTGTCTTTTATCCCTCTTTATTTCATGTTGGAACTATTAAAGACACATTAGACAAGATAACAGAGTAAAAGAACTGTAAATAAAGGCGCATAAATAACATGCTTTTGCTGAAGACTGGGTTCTGATTTTATAAAATCCATTGGAGGATATTGAATTGTTATGAGGAGGCTTAAAATATTTGGAGAATTGGCGGAGATGAAAATAAATAAACAAAAAGTGCAAATGTTGGTAAAGAATATGAATGAAGATCATCAAAGCAGAAAACAAGATCAAACTGGAAAACAAAACTAGGTTTAAGATTGTGAAAGTGGTAAAGTACCTGACTCTTTCTAATAAAAAATTCTATGTGGTATAAAAATAACTCTGTAAAAGTATAGAATGAGATAAAGTGGATTTGCACAGATGGGACAAACTAGATTCGCCACTAATGAGAAGAATCTGTTATTAAAGGAAATGTTTTACTCCGAATGTTATTTCTGTTTCAGATTATAGTGATTCTGATCAAAGACCTCTCTTTTGAATAATGATAGGTTATTTTCAAATTTATCTGGCAAAACAAGAATTAAATACAAGCTTTTAAAAGATGCAAAAGAAAGAGGTCCTGCTTTGAACGGTGGCGGTGGGGGTCATTTCTCCTGCTGACAAACAGCTGATTTTGCCAACAAAGTAGGTTTTTTTGGCAGCTAGTTCTCTAGATCTGAATGGGAATAGCTAGGAATGAGGAGGAGCTGACGTCACGACGGAACAGACGGAGGATTCCTGGGCTCCAGGATCGCTGCCGAAAGCCCCGCTGCTGGACGGTCCTTTTCAGATCTCACAGTCTTGTTTTGACTGTGATAGTGGAGGGCACATCCTGACAATCCCAGGGACACCGCAAAGTCCCTGGTTGATCCAGGAGAAGCCCTTTTTCTAGCAGCGGGGTGGCAGCCATAGTAGCTGCTGAAGTTGGGACAGCTCCGGAAGAAGAATAGAAGGACAGTGAGTCGATGCGGTTGGAGACTTTTAATTTAAACTGATGCAAAGAACACCCTGAGATTGAAGTGGGAATTAAATTGGACTTAAAAGAAATCAAGCGGCGAAATTAAGCAGGAGTCATTTTCTATTTTAATCTATTTACATCGATAGAGCTTTAAATTTCTGTTTTGCTTTTGACTGGGACTGGATGGAAAAGGATTGATAGAACTGAGAGTTTAACATCTGTAAGCCTTTGTGCCTTATACTTGAAATATTTTTCTTTTTGGAGTTAATTTTTCTTTTTTCTTTTCTGAAGATTGTTTTAACTTTTCAACTTCCTTTTCACTGACCAAGAATTTTAGTGGGGGAGATAGGAGAGCATGTAATACTGCCATCTACTGGATTGGAAACTTTGTTATTTTTTCTGCTATTAAAGCAACAAGTTGAAACAATTGTATTACATTGTTGCTATAATCCAAGGACTCTGAACCTTTTTTGCTGATAAGATTATTGGAAGGACATCTGAAAGAGTTGGAACTATCTCCTTTGTTTATTCAGGTGCTCTTCGGAGAACTATCAGAACTAGGAGTCTGAGGCAAATGAGAGACATTTGTTAATGCTCAGGCAGAAGCATTGCAGAAGAAATTGAAATTCTCTTTTATTTTTTATTATTTTGCTTTTCTTATTGTTCCTGTTAAATGATAACTCTCTGTATGCTCCCCCAGTTTAAATATCTTTGATGGACTTTCCTTTCTTTGTTTTTATATAATCGAGTTGGATTAAGGTGTACAAGAGCCTGAAGATTGATTTTTGGATTTTTTTTCCTCTCTAGTTGACTACTTGGTCGTCTTCTTTTTTATTTTTATTTCATTTTTCCTTTTTTAATTAGACTTTTCTTCAGTGTATCTTGATTACCAGTGGGATTAATTAATTTTTTTTCCTCCCCCCCCCAAAAGTGGATTAGGGTTTTGAAGAACCTGAAGAATTGTTTATTTTTGACTTCCGGTTTGGCGCCATGTTACAGTCGGGGAAATAGCGGGCTCTGACGAGCCCCGCGAAAACCCCGACTGACAAACAACCAATCAATGGGTCTTCGGACTGAACCCGTCCTGCAGGGACGGGGGAAGAAGAGGAGCGCCTCAGGCGGCCGAGAGGAACAGGCAAGTTCCTTGGAGGCCAGAGGGAATCCTGTGAGTCGGCGGTGGGGGGAGGCAGCCATGGCGGCTGCCACAAAGCCCCGGATAACCGGGAAAAGATTCATGTAGGAGGGAAGAAGAAAAGACGATGTGCTTCGAAGCTGGGTGAGTGACACCAACCCAGGCAAGAAACAACGTAACAGCATGGGTTTTTACAAATAGGACCCCAAATTTTGAATAGCGGCTGTAGATCTTGGGGGCTTGAGGTTTTGGTAAAGCAACAATTGGAAGTCCCATTAAAGATTTTGCTTTAGTATAAACTGAGTTGGAAGAATTGGCTTTTAACAAAAAAGAAAATTGGGTTTTTGTTTTTTTTAATTGGAATGAATTTGAGAAGCATTATTTTGGGATTTAACACCTTTGGAAAGTTAAAGAAGAGAGACAAACAGATGGTTACATAATAGCTATAAAATGGAGATTGCTGTGACTAAGCAGAATGTGGATTGTAGAGATCCTCCTTTTGTTTGGAAAAGAAATACTTTGAATTGCTATCTACCTTGGATTACTTTGAAATTAACTATAAACTTTTGGATTTTGGAGATTCCTATTCTGTCTTTGGA